ATCATTGAAAAATCACATCGACAATCAATAAAGAAAATAATTTTTTTATCAATATCGGTCATTTGAGGTGTATCCCTTAAACATGTAATAATCATAAAATAAATTTCATTGAGAAGTTTAACAAAATCATCGCGTGCATAAAATAAAGATTTCTTTGTATAATCAATTGCATAATTAAATGAATCAACATTCCTCTCAGATTCCAGTAAATCGACATTACATACTTCACATTTTTTATAAATATTTGTTTTACATTTTTTTATTATATAACCAGCAACATATCTTTTCGCCTCAACATGTATAATCGATTCACTTGATGTTATTTCATTCAAAGCAGTAATTAAAGAATCAATTTCGCATGCAAAATCAGTGTAGCAGGGAGAGTCACATTTTTCTAACAATAAAAATTTCAACGATTGCAATTGCTCATAATCATCTTTTTCACAATTAGCATTAATAGAATGGCTTGAATTTATGTTATTAATCAAAACTGTTTTAAATGCATTCATAAACTGCATGCACGTTGGATTGATATTTCTGATTCCATTACTTCTTATACAGCAAAAGGAATTTTCTAGGGGATCCTGGTTAAAATTTCTCATTATAATATTTTTTATTTTAAATTTTTTTCGTAAATAATTCCACAGTTCTATGATAGTATTTACATTATGTATCCAGTTCTGAACAGATGGGATTTTTTCATATTTGACAATTTTTGAACCATCTTTTTGTATAATATGTTTTTCAAATTGTATTGATTTTAAAATCGGGATTATTTCCTGGGTCCAGAACTGAATATGTGGGGAATTATTCTTAAGACACCCTTTAAGAACTTTTGCTGTATCACAGTAAGAGTGACCATTAAAAGAATCGAACAATTTGTCAAATATCAATAAAAGGTCTGCCGTATCTTCACATTCAGCAGGTAGCACATTGCGTCCTGAAAAAAATAATAAAATAATTTATGTAGTAATTGCTGTAATAATATCACGAAAATGTAAGTGTGGCTAGAGTACCAATAGTTCTGTACAACAATTTTAAAACTTTATAAAAGCACTTTAAGTAGCTCGGTGGCGTAGTGGATAAGCGCCGCGGCCCGGTCAGTCACGGGATGGGAGACCAAAAAATTATTATCTCGAGCTACTCCGTGCTTCGGAAGGCACGTTAAGCCGTTGGTCCCGGCTGCATTTGCAGTCTTTAATACCCTCCAATCCGCATTGGCCCAGCGTGGAGGGTCATGGCCCATGCTCCTTAACCATAAGGAAGGCCCCTGCAGTGGGGACGTAAAAGGGCTGGTGATGATGATGATGATAAAGCATAAGCACTGTACATTGCTAAAATAGAAAGACAAGTAAATTATGTCCAAGTTCTTTCCCGGTATTTGTATGAATGATGGAGGTTATCAAATTATAAATAAATACAATTAAACTTACGTGCTAAAAATCCCATTACTGCTGACACTCTTTGGCTAAATATTTGGGCTGCATATTTAACCTTCATTTTTGGAATTTTTTCCTCATACACATGGTATTCGGTTAATTTATTCAAAATTCTTATTTCGTCTTCACCTGTGTCTTCATTCAAAAGCATTTTTAAATGTTCCCATTTGGCAATTTTTTGTTTCCCATTTTGTTGGAATTTTATATTTTTAGACAGAAAATTATTTCGAATTCCTTTCAATAGATGGGGTGTGTCAAATAAAGGAAAAACTTTCAAATTGTCTATTTCGAAAGAATTAGATTGGTACTCTATATTTTCTCGTAAATATTTCTCCCTTGTCTCTTTTTGGAACATTTTAATTGTGCTAACATTTGATGTTCCTTGATCGCAAATCGTGACTACAATGATAATACCAGCTTCTTTTAGCTGTTTTATGGTATTAGTTGTAATTGTTTTTAATTCGATATTCTTTGTTGCGCTTTTACAGAACGTAAATAAAATTGGTTGTTTCGTTTTAGATTTCACACCTTTAATCATCAACACCAAAGCATGATCTGCAATATTTTTCGTTTTTTTTTTGTCCAAAATCTTCAAAACCGATGATTTCATGTTTATTAAAATATAATCCAGGCGATAATGCTACCTCATCAAACAAAAGTATGTAAAGTCTTTTTTCAATAGGTAGGTTGCTTACTATTTTTTTTAAATGACTCATAATTTTTGTGTTCAGCCCTGGCTTTATTTTTATTACCTTTAAAAGTCTTTGCAATGTTCTTTTAGATGGCAGTACTATTATTTTGCGTAAGAAATTGTATGCCTTATTGCTTTGTTTTAAAATGGAGGCAGCCATTACTTTTTCTTCTATCGAAAATTTCATACCTCTAGATTTTTTGTTGCCTTTTAGTTGCATATTCATGAAAACCTTAACAGTTTCAGGCATTGCTTCAACAATTTTTAAAAATTTTTGATAATTTTTTTATCATTTTCATTTTAGTCTGCTGACTTTTACATTTCTTTGTTAATTTTAAAATTTTCTGAGATAACCTATGGATTATATTTTTTTGTTTTTTTCTTGTTTGTTCTGTAAACAAATAATTATTACACTTATTAGAGCTATGACAAAACAAAATTATAGCTTAAACATTTTTTACTACCTTCTCGAATTCATCCATAACACATTCACTGGATTGTCAAAAAGACTAGCTTCTTACTAAGTGTTATTAATATAACTTTAGGGATGAAAATATTCTTAATGAAAAATGTATAGCATTGCAAATGCAAAATTGATCAAATATAATATTTAGGGAATTAGAGATGATTTACAAAGGTTTTATGTACATTTCCAACAATTATTAATAAATAGATTCTCACCTAAGCTTTTCAATTCAGTTTTGGATGAAAAAGTCAATGGTTCTGTTGGCGATTCTGTTATATTATGACTGCTTGTTGCAGATGAGGTTGACGGCCCTTCTTCAACTCTAGGATTAGTAGTATCTTCTGAAATAGTAAAATAATCATAATGTAAAAATTCATAGGCATAAACTACCTGATATATGGTCTGCACATTTCACAGAAAATACACAGTATTCTTTAATGGAAGACACACTCATGATAAAGAGCCAAAGTAATACATACTGCCACAGGTAAAAAAGGTAAAATCTAAAGGAATAGTCTTTATTTGTATACACAAATAGTAAATATATGAAAGAACAAAAATATTAGAAATGTGTTTTTTCATTTTTATGTATGTTTTGTGTCTCGGTGTATTTTATCATCAAATTGGATTAGAAAGAGTTGCCCTTGCAATTATTTCAAAAATTTTGTTAATTCTTCAAAAATAGACAAACATGAGTAGGTTAGAAATGGGGGCTGCAATTTTCAACACTTAGGTGCTTTTATTGGTCCTTTGTACATGACAAATAAATATTAATTCATATTAATAACAACTTAAAATAAAAAATTCTCAAATATTTAAATACAAAAATTAGATAAATGTGATCAAGCTAAAAACTTAGTAATTTTCTAGACTGTAAAAACTCCTCATTCTTTACATGTTTCATTTGATAATTAGCTATATTTTTAATTAAAGTGGTCAAGGGTGTGTGAGAATTCCAACATTAATTAAGGTACTTACCCAAACTTTTCAATGTTTCCATTGATGATTCCACTGTCAATTTAAATTCTGTAGGAGTGGTAGTATCTGAAATAGCCAAATAAACATGTTTTCAAGCGGAAGCATTTAATAAAATCATACACATAAAAATAATACATATATTATTCTTATATTTTTAAATTCAAATGTAACAACTACACTGAACTTATATCTATTTAATCAAAACCTATTTGTATTATTATAAAGTATGGTTTATTTTTACATCAGGCTTACATATATGTGAGTTGAATATATGTATTTATTAATATAATAATAAGTATAGTGTTTTAATGCAAAATGCAGTGTTTATATTGTACATTTTCACTATTATGTGATTATTATTAACTTTATAGAAAAACATCATGGTTTAGTACCTCACAGCTTGTCTAGTGGTATATATGGTAGTGGTAGTGGTAAGTCTTTGTCTTTAAGACATCAAAAAAGTACTTGAATAAATGTTTACCTTTTCTAAGATGAAGTGTTGGTATTGCATTTCTTGTTAGTCGACCATATTGTGTTTTATAATAATTCTCGAAATGTCTGTGACACAGTCGTATTTGGTTAAATATATAAATATCTCCTTTTTCTCGAGTCCTTTCGTCAAGTACTGACTTCCAGATATTAAATCTTTCATTGTTTTTCTCCAATGGTTTGGGGAAACAATGAAGTGGTTCTGAAATAAATATATTCAATGAATATTATGACAAAAATTATATATTTCTAGGAACATTAAAATTTCTTTCGTATATCGACAATATTATTTTTAGTGAATTCTATTTATATTGAAGTTAAAACTTAAAAAATCATAACTTTTAGATACTTACTTTGTTCGGCTTCTCCACACCCTAAATAACAACTTGACCGAGGATTCTTGAGCATGTTTCAGTTCAATAAGCAAAGTCCAGTGAGTGTAGCGAAGTCTTCAAAATAGGCAGAGGTCGGGTCCAATAAGCAGAGCTGGGGTAATCGTGCAATGAATCCGTGTCGGTGTCCTTGTTCAATGGTCAAAATTAAGTTCGAAAAAGCAACAGAAGTCCGTAAAACACGCCAAGTCAATAAGGGAGCAAACAAACCAAAAATATTGTAAACGCGCAGAAGACAACAAAGTTCACAAAACACTTTTAAAGAAACGGAAAATGTCCGAAGTGTGTTTTCTTAACAGTGTTGCAAATAGTTAAAATATTTTCAGAAAAATCTGCAAACATTTTTAAATATTCTATTTTCCAATATAAAGCACTAAATTTAATTCTTGTAGGAAATCACAATACAATTTTGATTAGTAATTTTTAATTTGTATTATATATTTTGACAACTCTAAAACTTCGTTTATAGCGACATCTAGGCTAGCCCGATGCAAATACAGTAAAAATTGCAACGCCATGGCCAAGAGATGGCACCACTTTCCATACAAAAATAAAAATTTTAATTTTATACTACAGTGTCACCCGGCTCTGTGACTGCTACCTACGTATCTAGGAAAAAAATAGTGTAATAATTAAAATAATTAAATGTTTATTAAAGAAAAATGTCTTTACTTAATAATTTGTCATATGAAGAATATCAACATGCTTTATCGTTCACGAAAGAAAAATGTGAAATTATTGCAGATTTAGCGAACCTGAAGTAAGCCCTTCTGTCTACACTTGTAATATTTTACAATTTTATGTAATATTTTATTTTAAACACTTGATAAATAAAATGTTTTGGATTTTAGGATAACGTTTAGTGACACAAATCAACCTGGAGAAAAGTTGATGAAATATTTATATCGTCGTGGCTACAATGCTGCTCAATATAAACAATTTCTCGCAACATCACATCAAGTTAAAACCATAGTGACTTACTATAAACCGCAGGCGAAAATTGCAATATTAATAGCTAACAGCGGATATAATAATCTATCTAAATTGGCCACACCATCTGTAGATTGTGACTCTCTTGCTGCTAGTTTGAAAAATTTAGGATTCATTGTATTAACTTTGAAAAATTTATTGAGCTCAGAATTAAAAAGAGTATTAGTCAAATTGTTTGATGTGATCCCTGAAGATTCTTACTGTAAGTTAATTATGTTTTAAGCTTAATAATCAGTTATAGAAATATAATTTCTTTATGAAATTATACATTTGTTGTAAGCAGCAGATGAATATGTGTTCTTATAATTTTCAGGTTTTATCTTTTATGCAGGACATGGTTGTGAATTGTGCAATACTAAATTTCTGCTCTGCATAGATTGCCCAACAGAAAATATTGAAATAATCCACTGTATCACAGAGAATTTCATTTTGAAAGGATTGGAAAAATGTAACATCGAGCTCTGTGTTTTGATAATGGACATGTGTAGGATGAACTTAGATAGGTATTCTTGAATTTGTATTAACTGTAATTAGGTACAATAGTGTTGTTCCAATACTGTTACAAAATTGAATTTCCAATGATTTGCGTTTTAGACTAACAGTTTAAAGTGCTTAATATATTATGGTACAGTAAAATTTCAGGTGTAGTAATCCTAAACTGTTTGAGTCACTATCAAACATAGAAGAATACACAATTCACAACAATCTCCTAGTGGCTTATTCTACACAGTCTTCTCAAGCGGCTTATGAAGTGTTACAAATAGAATGCTCTACAACAATAGATGAAAATGTCACATATGAGCTGAAAACTGGAGATACTGATAAAATATTGCCTGGAAGTAGTCAATATGTGAATTCTCTTTGTACAAGATTGGGAGATGATTTAGATATCAGTAGTTTATTAGACAAAGTTCATGGTGGTGAGTATAAAGTGATGTTTCGAAAATATTGAGCTTCAATAAGCTGTTTTATTTGATTTTTTTACATATTACAGATGTTGAGAATTCAATAAGACAGCAGAAACCTATTAAAATTCAATGTGGAGTAGCTAAAAGATCATTATATGACCCAGTTAAAGGTAATATAAAATATTATTAAGTATATAAATTATGATTAATTACAAGTTTATAAATGGACAAATATATTCACAGGAGATGCAGCAGTTGTGGTGACAAAAATTAAGGCAGTAATAAATGAATTTGAAAATGTTGTAATATTTTAAGTCAATTATTTTAAATAAAAGAAATAAAATAATAATAATTAATTTAATAATATAGTTGTGGTGAAAAAAAAAATAAAGAATCAATAAATGAATTTGAATATGCTGTGATATTTTAAGTCAAAATAAAAGAATCAATAATAATTAACAATTTATTTACTTTTATTTAATAAAATTCAGGTGACTCCAGTTTGGCTTATCTATTATCATTGGTTAAGTAAAGATTATTTTTTGACAAGTGTTTGTGGCTGAAAATGGTTTACTATGTTGACCCACCAGCTATCTTCTACACCTTTTGTGAACTCTCTTATGAATCTGTAGTTAAGGATGAATATCTTGTCTTGGAACTCTGGCTGGACACTAAAAATATATTTTGTGATTGTATTTTTAGAAGTAAAAGGAGCAATATGTATAAGTGTATGTTTAAAAATCTAATTCGCATAATGAATCATATTAGGGTAGGCAAGATATATTTTAGAAAGAGATACAGGGTATATATTTAAAATTTTGTTATTGAAAAAAAAATAAAAAGTTATTATAAAGTACCCCAATGATATAGGAGGTAAATCTCCAGATTCTTGTAAGCTTTTGAGTCCTTTTAGCACATGATAACACATAGTGATCTCAACCCATCGCTTTTCAGAGTCATCAAAAATTACACCAACCTGAAATAAAAGTTGATTACTTAAATGACACAGCACTTTTACTGTTTATTTGTAGAAGAGCAATGATTTCATAAAAGTAGGTATACACAACAGCACACCATGTTATCACAATTTGTTAAATTTCATTAATTGATTCTGAACTCTACCCTCAAAGCATTTGTTTAAAATCAAGTGGAGAAATTTGAGTTTTGAATAGTCTCGACATGTAGTTGACTGTCCTTTAGCTCAAAGATTTTTTTTTTTGCTTTTTAAACTATTTAAATCATGATATACAAAAACCAACATAACTAACCTGGTAAGGGAAGGCATAAAATATATCTTCTTTATCAATGCCAAGTAGCTGTCTTTGTGACACTGATAACTGTGATACAGCAGTCTTCAGTGCCTCGATAGCATCTTTGTCTACAAGACCTTCTAAAGCTTTGAAATCACTTTTTTGTAAGGCTTCTGAAACAACCTGACAAGAGGCAATGAGGTATCATGGGTAAATAAAATATTAATATTTATTAATGGCGGCACGACCATAACGAACCTGAACAGCATGTTTGGAAGCCTCAATAAACTCTGCTAAGCTAAATTCTGGTTCAAGGTACGGCCGAATTATGAAGTTTGAAAACATCCAATTTTTTATGAATTTGATAAAGGACGGCCACACTATAGGTGGGAATTCCATTAACGGTGGCAATTTTTTCGATTCTACACGTTCTTCACAATAATTTCTGAATTGTGTAACAGTACATGTTGAGGTTACATTTAGATGTTTATGTAAAGTTTTGTTCGAAATTTTATCGCACAGTTTAAAGGTTTGCCTCGATAGCACTTGCCTTAAAACTAAATTCATATTTTTTTCGGAGATAAATGTAAAAAATCGACACAAACACTTTAAAAGCAAAACATAAAAATATTTTTGCAAGTCGGTATACAAACCACAGAACACACGATAAAAACAAACCTATACAACTAGTCTTTGGATCCGGAACTAACATAGAGAACGGTAATATACTTGACAACTAAAGAAAGGTAAGGCCATAGAGAACGGTAAGGCCCTGGATTATAAAAATAGAGATCAAGACCAAATTTATTATTTAAAGAATCAAAAAAAATCTTTAATAAATGACACTTATAGTGTTTATAACAAAAAATTGAAAATTTTGGTTCGATAAAATTTAAAAAGATGTTATAAAAAACTGCAAAAAGTTTAACTGTCTAAATTAAATTTGGTTTTTTGCATTACCTTAAGATTACCTAGGACCCTTAATTTTAATTTGTTTTAATTTTTGTTTGCTTAAATAATTAAGTTTGTTTGCATTATACAGGTTCCGAAATTACTGGATCAGTTTAAAAATTTGTTATAACTAGTTTGGTTTCAACTTTAAAAATCACTGTTTTTCAAATTGACATCTCCAAGGAAAAAACGTAGTATCTCAATTTTAGTCTTTTTACAGAAGAGCATGATAAAGATTTAAAAAATCTGACCAATTATGGTTAGGTCCTTATACCACCCGATCTTGAAAATTGAAGTAAGTGTTGTAGGACCTAACCTATTATACCATTTCAATTATTAATTCAATATTAATTATGAATTTAACGTAGGAATTTAAGTATAATCAAATATATCGAATTTAAATTAACACATATCATAATTGATTCGTCTGATTAAATATGAAAAACCGGTAATTTTTGCCATAACTGTGCTAAAAATAAACATTCTGAAGAAAGTATTTAACACGATGGCTTTTCAAAAATATTGTAATCCGAAAAGCCATCTTGATCAATTTTACTCCTCTATGGTTACATCCTTCTAGTGATGTGACATTGTTACTCCAATAGTTATTTTATATCTCTACTACTACTACTACAATCTCCGTACAATCTCTTGTCAATCCGCTTTTCTGTCACTGTCATACAGAGAGTAGAGTAATACATGCGTCGGTTTACCAAAATATAGAATATCCCACTGTATTATTTTTCTCTTTGATATACAATATTCAATTTTGTTTTCTTTTCAGAAGATCTTACGATTGTGTTGTATTGTGATTTTTAAAAAAAGTCGCCATGGACGATCAAGCATGTCCCCGATGTAAAACCACAAAATATAGAAATCCATCATTAAAACTGATGGTGAATGTATGTGGCCATGCTTTGTGCGAAAGTTGTGTCGAGTTGTTGTTTCTAAAAGGTACTGCAAGACCGTTTTTATATCGTTTGATTAATTCTTAGTCTATTTGAGTTTGATATTTAGTTATTAATAAAATTTTCAGGTTCTGGATCGTGCCCCGATTGCAATGTTCCGCTTCGCCGTAGTAACTTCAGGGTTCAGCTGTTCGAAGATCCAATGGTTGAAAAGGAAATAGACATTAGAAAGCGAGTACTTAAAGATTATAATAAAAAAGAAGAAGATTTTGCTACACTCAGAGAATATAATGACTATTTAGAAGAAATAGAAACAATAATATATAATTTAACTAATAACATAGATATTGTAGCAACTAACAAAAAGATAGAGCAGTATAAAAAAGACAATAAAGAAATTATTATGAAGAATAAGGCGAAAATAGGTAAATATTATAGTTAAAATAAAGTTTCATTATTAAAGTTTAATTACTAGAGTACTAAGTGCCATAAAGCTCAGTTTTTACACACATCTTTTAAGTTCATGACATTCATAACATGTTATTCACACAAAGTTTGGTCATCCTTCTGATATAGAATGAATATTATTTATATCATATATACATCTCAGCTGATGGCAGATTTATATAGTAGACCCTGGCCCATGGCTGCCAGATATTAAGGGCAACCAATAATGGTATAATATGGTGATAAAAATGTCTGAAAATAAATTAAAATCCTGTGCAAAGTAAATAAATTACTAGGCACTGAAAATTGTGTCATAATTTATCCAAGACACTCGTAATTTAATAACAATTGAATTCTTTAACCTATTTTAGTTACTACATGGCCTAAGGCAACCAAGCCTACAAATTTGCCACGGCTCTCAACAGAGTATGCCTCTGTAAATTTTTAGACTGGCCCTTTAGTCAACTTATTTTTTTATTTCAAACTGCACTAATTTTGCAAACATGATCTTATTTAATATACTTTTTATTTCTGTTTATAACAAATAAATATGTATCATGTGGTTCCATATTGGTTACATCTTAAGACTGAATATAACCATCTTCTTATAATTATAATCAAACAAGGATCATTTTAAATGTATATGATATCCATTATATACAAAATTTTGGTAAATATTTGCATTCAAGTATGTACATAGTAAAAGCAGATAAAATAGTTGCTACTAATTACTGCTGTTTATGGAATATATTTTAGAAGCTTATTGTTACTTACAATACATATATTTATATTTACAGGCAGAGAAGAGATAGAATTGGAAGAAATATTGGAGATTGAGAAAGAAATGGAGGAGCTTCGTAGAGCAGAGTTGCAACGTATTGAACAGGAAGCCAAGAGACAAAAAATTAGAGAAAAAGAAGCACTTATTGATGAACTTATGTTTGCAGAGGGAGATGCAAAGGATATATTGAACACTTTCGCTCAGGCTAAAGCTAGTAAACAGGAAGAACTTCTACCCCCAGTTCCTAAGGTGAGCAATAGATTTAGAGTAAAAGTTATAGTTAATTTTGTTGAAATAGAAAGGGATGAATGAATGTCATCCTATGGAAATTGCTAGAGAGTGACTGAGGGATATGTTTTATATTGGAATAGACTTTCAATATCTTGACTATTTGAGACAAAAGTCATGAGTGAGAAAATTTTGTGCATCACTTGTATGGTATATATTTATCAAATATAGTCATAGCTCTGCTTGTCTTGTGGTGTCAGTCTTAATTATATTTCTATTAATAAATTAAATATACAATGTAATTCTATAGCAGTAAATGATGTTAAATTCTTTAATTTGCCAATACAATATAATAATTGTGATATGAGAATTTGCACAATGTATGTATTAAAAGAGAAAATGTAGATGGAACTGTGATTTTACTTAGTATTTAATATTTCTGTTCTTCACTGTTTTCATTCAATAGCATGTCACTTACTTTGTACATAATGGGGGCATAGAAAGTCTAGATTAGATTACTCCTTTGATATCAATAATACTGCCTTAACCTATAGTTAGGATTTACAAATTATTTTAGCATCCCTTATTCCAAAATGAACTGAATGAAATCCTCAGTCGTTCTATTTACATGCATTGCCAACTTAGGCAATGTGTTTTGATTTGCTGTATATTATAATTTCAACAAACAATTGCTTATAATGTAACTTGACTTATACAGTATCTTAAAAGTTTCAAATAAGTACTTCTGCTAAAATAGGGATTGTGTTTTAGACTTGACCATCTTAAAAATACTTTTAACCTCGACACCTGGGAAACTAAGTTCGACTCCAAGGGGTAATCTTTACATGGACCTACTATTAATAAAATATATTGTAGATTTTTCTATGGGCATGTAAAGTGATTCTGTATTGTTTCAGATTACTCAGTTCTCAACTGGTGTTAAATTTACTCGTGGTTCAGCTGACCAGCACATTCCTATAATAGAAGAGGGTCCATTGTATCGGTATGAACCTCCTCCAGTGCCTGACCGATGCGGACCTGAGCCACCTACTCTAAACGAGATAATAAGCAATGGTTTTCTGCAACATGTGAAGTATGTCAATTTTGTTTTTAATATGTGTTTTTACAATACGAAAATACTTAAATTAATACACAGGTAGTCCTCTACTTATGTTGTTTTGATTTACTTTAAAAGCAAATTCACTTGCCATGACAATTCGTTGAAGAAAGTTTTTTACCTAATTTTGTGATTAGTTTAAAAATAATCTCAATCTGTTACTAACAAAATTTGTGCGACCTATCAATGTTACATATGAGTATTTATTTAAAGTACCAAAAATAACCATCAATTTCATAAGTACATAATTATTTTAAGAAGTGACTAACGGATTTTTTTTAGTTTTGTGACTTGTGTTACTTAAACATATTAAAAAATGTGTTGACTTACGTATTTTCTATTTATTTTGCTTGTTTTGAGAAATGTTTTTTTTTTTAAATAAATATTTCTTATTAAATTGGCGGCGTTACATTTATTATTTGATTATTCAAATTTTAAGCAGCATCATGATGAAATGATGATTATAAAAATATCATGTAATATTACAAAAATTTCGTTATACCTTTGTTTATTATGTATTACCTCTAAAACAATTAAAGGTTTTTAAATTCACATTCGGGATTGCGATTTACGACACTTTTAGATGAATGATAAACATAATAACCGTATTTTCTATTCTTAATTAAAATTCTTTATAAATCCACTTTGTTTCTGGTACTCTGAGATGGGATACGGACCCACGAATTTTCGCAATCCGGGTGACTCATTTTATTCACCTGGATTTTTTATGTGTTTTTCATTAAGAATATTTTCCAGTATCTATCATTGCACCATGGTATCATTGTGATTGCAAATTTGATTAAATATAATAATATTTTCTAAGTTAAATCATGATTCTATTTGAGTACATGGTTTATATTTGCATAGGTACTTTTTTATATTATAAGGTGTAAAATGTTACATGTTACTCTGATGTTGTCAGTTCCTGTTTTAAATTATTTTCCATATACTTCAGGCGGGAAAACGAAACAGAAAAGGCGGGAGGATATACATCCAAACTTCCTTGTTTACGAGCTCTCCAGGACGCGTTCTCAGGACTTTATCATGCCAGCTGACAAAGCGAACAGACTACTGTTATAGACACTGTTATTGTATTAGATTAGTTTGTTTATATTTTATTTGTGTTGCTAGATGATGGATGTTTTGGAAATTGCCTGATTTTTGTTATTATCTTCTGATTAAGTTAAATCTTTTCATGTTGGGTGTAAATATTATAACGGATTTTATAATTATCTGTTTAATTTATTACGTAGTAACGTACAATTTAAAAGCAGGTATGAGATTTCTGTCAGTTTTATTATTTCCTTTTATTAATTAATTGTTAACAAAATATTCTATTATATATTAAACCAACAGAAATTGTTGATTTAATTAAAATAGAGTGTTAAATTCATTTGTGATTTTAATCTTGGGAAATATTATTAATTTCCTTATTTGAATTATATACTATCACATTACATACAGCAGCAGCATAGTGAACCTCTGTTACGGGGATCGTCATATCGATTTCGAGTTCAACTTTGACTTTGATTTAAACAATTATTGAAGGATTTTATTTATTCTATTACCTTACAGGTTCAATAGATCAGAGTTTTTACAAAAACCTTTACCAGTATATGCAGCTTCAAATTCTCTACCGAATGATGTACCCTATTCCCTTCCCTCTACCCCTCAACCCTTTCCTCCAAGGCCGGCAGCGAGCTTGTAGCTCCTCTGGTGTTGCAGGTGTCCATGGGCGACGGTAATCACTTACCATCAGGTGATCCGTCTGCTCGTCTGCCCCCTATCCCATATAAAAAAAAAAATTCTATAGAGCAACTCTAGTGATAATTAGCAGTCATGTGAATAGACAGATATTTGGGAAATAAAACTTTTTGTTTTACACCCGCTCCGATAATGTATTATTGCTTTGATGTAATAACTATAGATACAATATCGCCTACCGGTTTATACATCGATAGGGCTTGCTATTCACAAATAACTGTTTAACCAAAATAAACTTTACTGCAGCTGACTTAAGACTCATTAATGTTACAAATATAATGTAATACGCTAAATACGCGGCTATGCGTTGTCATCTCGATACTGCAAAATTATAGAAATAAGCCTTTCTTTGGGGTTAACTATTAATTTGACTTAAAACCGTAATGTACACTGGGCTGGAAGTCAGGCTACCACTATATGTCAAGTTGCCTTAACCGATTTTGACCTCTACCAGCATTGTATTAGCAGGCTTAAGATCAAGTGGTGAAATTTGACAGCTTTATATATTCTGTCGTGTTGTTGATAGTGCAATATACTATTTAACAAAGTAAAGCATTTATTTACCGATAAAGTCTTTATATTTGCGCATTTTAAGAGCACTTCAGCATGATTATTACTCGCGCAGTTTTGCTCGACTAATATATATACATGACATTGCTTACGTTTAATTCGGAACTGTCTATTCTTGTTTTTTTACGTGTAAATGTTGCGTCTAGGGTGTTTTTATTCAAAGTGATTGATTCGAGTGAGTAAATATTGTGATTGTAATTAAAGATTTATAATGGCAATTTTATACTATTCCTATAGTAATCCAGTCACTGAAACTTTTACAAAAAAAAAACATGTGTTTCCAGCAAAAAACTATAAAACTAAGTAGCGGTGTGAAAATAAAATTAAAGTCGTTAACATCTTAAAATAACGAACTGTATGAGTCGCACGGGAGCGACAAGGACAGAAAGCGTCCCCACTACAACCATGCCACGTGACTTTTTTTTGGTAAATTGAAATAAATATTTTATTCTTATTATTAATACAAGTCTGTTTAAACATAGATTCATAATTTTGTTGGAGGCCTATTCCCTATTACTGCAGGTCTACAGATCTTCTCCTCACGCGTAAATAATTGTATGTCATAGATTTATCGCGTCAGATAGAATGAAAAAGTATTTAAATATTTAGTTCTAGAATGAAAAAGTATTTAAATATTTAGTTCTCAAAATGAAACTAGATGTCGTTACGTATTCTGAAACAATAGCGTCAAGCCTAGTGTTAGTCAAATTACTTGTGAATACAGTTTTGATTTGCTTTTAGGTGCAGTGAAAAAATTTAATAATTAATAATCGTTGTAATATCTTTTATTTTAGTTTTTGAACCATAAAATAAAGTTTGAAAATTATGTGACGTGTAAAGGAACTTAAAAGACATTTTATTCCGGTCAAGAATCGTACCGACATCTAGTGACATTTATTTAAGTAGGTAGTTTTTAAAGACTTCTTCATTAATTTCACTAGGCGTTCGGTTAGTTACGCGGTAAAAGTAAACAAAAAAATATGTTAAAATCAAGCTACATACCAGCCAGTATACCAGCGGTGTTAACTGTCAACGCACCATCTTATATAGTTTAACTGCATTGAAAGACTGTCCACATGATTCTTAGTGATTATTTGTTTATTTACTGTCTCCTAGTCAATGAATCGAAAATCGTAGATTGGTATAGTATTGGATTGTTGTTTGTTGTGTAATGAACAATGACCTTTATAATAGCAATGTTCGTGGGAGTAGTAAGTTGTTGGTAATTGTTGTGATATTAAAATATTTTGAATATATGATGACTTTTATTACGAATGCGGTATTTACCTACAGTTCAAATCTATTGCAATCGCTTTCAGTTTGAAAGGTGTTGCACAACCATTGCTTGTTTCTGAAGACATTTGAAAAAAAGTATTTGTATTATGCAGCAATGGTTGTGCAACACCTTTCAAACTGAAAGCGATTGCAATAGATTTAAAATTAGACAATTAGGGGGCAGGTTATACAACAGTATGATATTTTCAAATTTGCTTTAAGGGCGCTTACTCAAAATCAAACTCAAAATGTTTTTGTACAAAGAATTAACGCCCAAGTAAGCTGCAAATAAAAATTAGGAAACCACATATTTCTAAGAGGCCTTTATACAGTCAAAGCGTGAGTTTATAAAACTAGCAAAAGATATCACAAAATCACCTCAAGAATTCTCCATTTTGAGATTTCTTAAAATCAGTTATGTAGTTTCGGAGCCTATTCGTTGCATACAAACAAATTACCAAATCTATCCTCTTTATAATATCAGTATACATATTTATAAATAAAAATATTCAAAATAGTGGAAGAAGATTTTGTTTATTTGCTCGACATAGTTTTTTCCAATAATTCTATACTCATAAAGAGCAAAATTTTGTTTGTTTGTTTGCATAGGATAGGTTCCGAAACTACTGGATTGATTTATAAGTCTTTCGTGCCTGAGGCCAACTCATACTTGGCCGTTTTTTCTTTTCAAAATACGGAGAGAGAAAATGGTGGATTGATAGGGATGTTAGGCAACATATTATATTCTAATTAATCCCTTTCTGAACTGATATAAATGTTCGATAGCAATCCGATGTTTTCCAATGCATCGTCTGACTTAACCAACTCGTTCCCAGAGATGTATGGACAAATATTGCCTGACAGATAAGTGTAAAGGGTCCGATAGTGGTGCTAAAGCATGGTAAACAACGCACTTGGCATTTTGGTTAGAGTCAATGGTGTTATCGTATGGGCCGGTGTCTGTTAGACTTTTAACATAGTTACATCGTACTATTAAGCTCTGTTTAGCCAGCGTGGTCCTGTATTATACATATAAATGATTTATATGTTCCATTAACAATTTTTTATAAAATTATTAATATTCTTAATTTGAAACGCTTAAAAATCCTCCTCTTAGTCTTTGGCACCCTGAGATGGTATTCGAACCCATGACCTTTCGCTATCCGGGTGACTGTTCTAACCACTGAGCTACCCAGGACCTAAGAGGACTGACGAATCTTTCAAGCACTTGTTACATTTTCGCTACTACAGAGCGCATTCCCATCAAAATTCAGGTAATCCACCCAAACAGCCGAAAGAAATATTTGTACAGATACATATTTAAACTTTCAATAAGGATGTAAAATTGTTCTAATTATTCATATTCGAAAGAACCAGGGACCAAGTGGATTTTTTAACAATATTTTTATAAATAATTTTCAGTATAGCATTGTGAATGCGAAATTGATCAAATATAAAAGATAAATAATACCTCTTGAATCGCTTGTATAATGATGAAAAGCGCATTAATATCCATTGTGTAGTTTAAAAGACCTCTCGGTGATGACAACAGGAAGTAACTTTGTTTTATACTATAACCTATAAGTTACAGGTAATCTGTATATTCCGGTATTCTATACAGTATCTTTTTTTTTATACCGAGGGGAACTGTCCCTAACATGCCGTCGACCTAGGAGAAAGGCCGACTGAACCCGGGCTCTCATACTGCAAGGGACGGCGGTCCAGTGCAGTGGGCATACCGTGCAAAAACCCCCGTACTACCCTCTCTCTTGGTCCGGCACCTGGTATCTTAAAATATGTCCAAGGTGGGCCCGGACCATATTCTATACAGTGCCTAGGTAATAATTATAAAATAAAATAATAATTAAAATAATTTTTATACTTTCACTGAGTATTCTACACAATACTGAATGCGCAGCTGGTAATGTATGTAAAAGGCGTGGAAAGGATTTTGATGTTTCCATTCATTAAGTAGAATGCCTATTGTTAATTTAATAAGAAACAATAGTAAAAACAATATGTATCTACCTGTATGGGTTGATCTAGTAGCCTGGCAGAAAGTTTGATCTCTAACACTCACATTTTATTTATAGCTGAGAGAAATAATTATATAAGAAAATGTCATCATCATCATCAGCTCTTTTACGTCCCCACTTCCCGGGGTTTCTTATGGATTGTTAAGGAGGGTGGGCCATGACCCTCCACGCTGGCCCGATGTGACTGCAAATGCAGCCGGGACCATCAGCTTAATATGCCTTCTGAAGCATGGCAAGCAGCAGCACGAGATAATAATTTTTGGTCATCCATCCCGTGACTGACCCTTGTGAAACTTGTTTAACAACAGTGATCGCGGGCCGCGGCGTACGCCACCGAGTTCCTCTACTGATAAAATGTCATAACTTAATAAAATATTTTTAACCATTAGGTGACAACTTGAATGATGTAA